TGGATACCTCATAAATTGAGTGAATCGAACTTGCAAACACGCGTCGACTACTGTGTTACTTTGCTCAACCGACGCAATAATGAAGGGACTTTAAATCGAATTATTACTTGTGATGAAAAGTGGATACTGTACGATAATAGGAAGCGCTCGTCGCAATGGCTGAACCCTGGAGACCCAGCTAAATCTTGCCCTAAACGAAAATTTACTTGTTGTGAAAAAGTTACTTGTGAGTGTTTGGTGGACGAGCGCCGGTGTCGTTCACTACAGCTTTCTAAAATCTGGCCAAACGATTACAGCAGATATCTGTTGTCAGCAACTGCAAACCATGAAGGAAGAACTAGCTGCGAAACAACCGAGATTGGTCAATCGCTCTAGGCCACTGCTGCTTCACGACAACGCAAGTCCACACACTGCACAACAAACAACCACTAAGTTAGGTGAATTACAATTGGAATGTCTGCGACATCCACCGTACTCTCCGGACCTTGCGCCAACATATTACCATTTTTTTCCGGAATTTGGACAACTTCTCAAAAAAGGAAAAAAATTCAACTCCGATGCGGCAGTCCAAACCGCCTTCAAAGAGTTTATTGATTCTCGCCCCCATGGTTTTTTTTAGTAAAGGGATCAATGTACTACCTATGAGATGGCAAAAGTGCATAGATAACAACGGTGCATACTTTGATTAGTTAAATATATTTTACAAAAAAAAAATTGACTTTATATTACTCCCGTACAAAACGCCAATTTCATATGTAAGGACCTAATATTATAAGTGACGTGAGGTTATGGTTACGGTTAGGAGATTCAAATGACTAGTGAACAATTTAATATGGTAGCGTATTATTACTACAGTATATAAATACATAATGAGTCAAACGGAAAACCTAGAAAGGGATCCAATGAGAATTTCTACGGGAGTCAACGTTGGGCAACTTGCTCTTTACTAAAACTCAACACAGTCATATGTTCAAGTTAAACAAACGTCTACATTTATCCTCGATTAAGAATCAAAATGCAGAAGCGTTGCCACCCTTGAGGACTAAAATGGAATTCCTCGTCATCAGTAAAAAGGGTCTCCGCAGCATTGAGCTGCTATTTTACGCTGGTTTTCTGTGATAGCATGGGTCAAGTCGATACATTCGTGCTACAACCATAGCTGCAGCATGGTCTTACACGTAAATACTTAGTCAGGTGATAAGTTATGTCAAAAACTTTTTATAAAATTAATGATACACTTTTTGATGATTATATTGAAATTACGAGTATATGTGAAATGAAAGGTAATTTAATTTAGTTTACTTTATTCAAAATGCCCTCCCCTATTTTGAATACGAGTACATGCCCTTAATCGACTCGGCCAATCATCAATCGCAGCACACACCACATTAATATCTATTTCTGCCGCTGCTTTAGCCAAAGATGCTCGGAGAGATTCCAAATTCTGATGAGGTATTTTGCAGACTTTCTCCTCCAAATGTTGCCATATTTTGTAATTCAGTGGGTTTAAATCTGGACTAGACGAGCGCCAGTCTTCATGTCTGATAAAGTCAATTCCACGGGCGGTCAACCAGTTTTGCGTGCTTCGTGCCCTATGAGCTGGTGCAGAATCCTGTTGGAATATCCAATGTCTGTTTTTGAACATTGTTTGAGAATGAGGTTCCACATCTTTTTCACAGAAAAACACCTCAGTAAAGCCTGAATATGAGATTCCAAGCCAAACCATGAGTGACGTAGGATAATGTTCTCTTTGAACCCTCGGAATACGCGTTCTGGCTTCTTCACTGTTGTGAGCATACACCTTATCATTTTGTTTATTACAACTTTCTTCGATGTTAAAAATGTTTTCATCCGAAAACAAAATTTCGCTGCATTTTTTCCCCGCATACCACCGTAATAAAGAGCGGGATCTATGCAGCCTAATTTTTTTCAAACGCTTGATCACAAAATGTCAGGTCTTCTTACGATAATCTCCTAATCTTAGGTCTTCATTGATCACTCTTTTGACCGTAGTTCTGCTTAGGCCCATCTGAAGAGCTAAGATTTTTTGTTTACGAACAGGATTTCGTTGGATTCACGCCTTCACTGCTTTGATGATCGCGGGTGTCCTAACTGTACGAGGTCGGCCGGTCCTCTTACGATCTTCTAAGCTTAAATCTTCTGTGAATCGTTTGTTAGTGCGATAAACAAATCATAGGGTAATTTTCAATTTTTGTAGAATATTGAAAATCTATTTTAGCGCGTAACCACAGCGGTGCAACACGATAACCGCTACTCTATCATCTTTCTTCGGCCACTCCATATTTGAAAATTAATCTCTTTAAGTCTTTTTTATTTTCGGCAAGCGCAAACGTTATATTTTTAAAATTGGTGAAGTTCATCTAGCCAGTATTCAAAAATTTTAAATAATAAGGTTTTTACAGAATTAATTTATGACCCGACTAAGTATATACTCGTGAATGTATAATACGCATACACATGTGTATAGGCTCAGAAGGGCTAGAACCCAGAGCCGTAAAGCCAGTTAAAAAAATACACATGCGTATTTTTTTATAATTCTTTTTATATTATTTTTAATATATTTTTTGTTATTTTTTTTCTTGCGTTATATCAAAATAATAGATTTTCAGATATTGTAGAGCATTAAGATCGTAAGAGCATTAAGCACATAGGGGGGATATTTTCCATAGTTGCCACGCTTGGCAAGTGGGTTGGCAACCGCAGTTTTTTAATTTTACTCGTTATTAGGAAGATGCTGTTGTCCATCTCCTCCTCTTACGACACCCACGGGATGATATGGCATTATGGATATTCTTACACCGCCACATACTTTTATTTTAGTTTTAATATATTTTCGAAGTAATAAATTTATTTATTTAAAAAAATATTTAATTCTTATGACAAAAATCCTTATAAAAATATAGTTATCATGCAACCCATAAACATGTCACTGATTGTCTGCTAATTAATCTTAAGTGATTAAAATAACATTTATAACAATGACATTATCTGTATATTAAAAAACAACCTTCCGAGATAAAACAAATTGCTACCAACGTTAAAGTTATCAAGGCATTAACGGAAAGTGTTTATTTAAGACAAATGGTTTTTAAATACAGCGCCATAATTGCCACATCAATGCGTAGGTGCGTAATGCGTAATGCAATATATTTTAAACATTTATTAATATGTAGGTAATTTTTTTCTTAATTAATTATATTCAAAAGTACTTCACCAAAACTCAATACAATTGGCAGCTGAGCAAAGGCTACCTTTGCAATCATAAAGTTGCCTTCCCATACCTAATCAGTGATAATATTTCGGCATTATAGAATGGATATTTTCGCCTTTACTAGTCGCCTCTTTCGTTACTTATCAGATTGCACAATATGCATGTGAGTTCACATTTGAAAAAGCTCTTGTAACGTCACAGTCATGATCAATTCATAATTCTTAAAATGTATTGAGCAATTTTTGTAGTTTAGCATTAAGGTAACTTTAGAAAACATACAATTTAACGACACCTATATGTAAATAAAATTAATTAATTTTTTTATCCTAACAAACCAACTATCGAACAAGCTTCCACTTTAAGTGTTGATAATTAATAACCTGGATATTAAGCATGGACTAGAAAATACCAGATAAGGTAGGCAGGTAAACAATTTCAATCCTGCACGCTAAGTTTTGTATATATCTCGTACCGGTAAGCGAACTGTAGGTCGGCTCCCCACGAGATAGAGTTACGACCTGGTAATGATGCAGGAAATCGATGGAAGAAGGTAGCTCTGCACCGTGCTTTGTAGCTTTCCTTGGAGGAGGGCTATGTTCAACAGGGGGCTTTTGAAAGCCTATAATGATAATGATGAAGAAGATACTAATATCACAGTTAATATCAAGCATTCGAACTTAGCGTGAAAGTATTGAAATTATTTGCAGGCATCTACCTCTCTATTCAAATACTATGGGTGCTTAAGAGAACAGTGTGTAGGTTTTTTTAAGCCAGTACGCTAACCATCCAAAACTGCTTCACTACTTACCATGTGGGATCGTAGAAAAGCATTCAATTAAAATTTATAAAATAAATACTTCAATACCTCATATACAACTTACAAAACTTGAAAACTTATGTAGAGGCTGATTATTATGATGACGACATATTACGGTCGACATGTCAGTGGCAAAGCTAGAATATAATATAGGTAATTGATTTCGTAATAGATTATAAGAAGTATCTTCGACCTTTAGTAAGAGCCGAAGTGTAGTAGTTGCTATGATAGTACCTATTGCGAAATGATGTTGAATAATTAATAATGATTCTCTAAAAAATATTTTAATTAATAAATTCAAAGAAATAAATATAATAGTCACTTTGGTTTCTCAGTATAATATTTACGAATGTATGTACACAAAAAAATAGTTTTATTAAAAATAGGGATGCGCATTCTGTACATGCTAGGATCAAGCGTAAGATATAAGTAGTACCAGTTAATTGATATATGCAGTGCTTAACTATCAAATAATTTAAATTTTTATTAAACAAAACTGTACTAGCTGCTGTAAAAACAGCTGTATGGAAGAATAAATGCTTTTCGATAAGTATTATTTATGATCTATATTGAATAAAAGTTACTTTATCTATTCTATACTTATTCTTTCCTTTTCCTCGATATCTCTTCCTTTTCCTTAATCGCCTCTTACAACTCTTACGAGGCGAGTTTGGGTGATATTTACGATACGTAAAAACTTATGTATTTTTTTCTTGTATCTTTTTACCTTTTATTTGTAAATATAAACGCTGGGTTAATTTACCGCAGTATCTTTAACAATTCTAAATTAACAAAAATTCAAAATGGTACTAGAACGAACGTATTCTACATTTTCCGCAAAATCTAAAAATTCCCGTAAAATATGGACATAAATTAGTAATTTAAAAAGGCTTTTAAATAAAACATTAAGCTAAGGAGATAAAAATTGCTGAATAAAGCAATAATCCTTACCTTCGTCGTCCTTCCCTCCAACACCGATGATGTAGGCGCTTCTCAAGAGGTGACCCATTTCGAAACTCGATAACAATGCTGAATTTGCGCAAAAATTTAAGTGTACAATGCGATTTTATTAAAATATATACATAGATACTATATCATAAAGCGTGCTAATCGCTATGCTAAAATTTAATTGAAAACTCAACGTTTGCTATGATTACATCTATAATCTGAGGTTACATATATTATGTGTACCGCACTAGTCGGCCGCTACGTATTCGGCTACATCTCTGCTACTATGTGAAGTATTAATTTGCACTTCTGTAATAGAAGAAAGCCCGCTAAATGTGCTTCGTATCGTTACCGCTCTGCAAATGATGTAAACCGAGCGCTTACCGAAATTATAAGTTACATGTAGAATTAGGAAATGTTAAGAGTAGCGTGATAGAGATGTCGTCATAATTTTCGTCCAAAATGCCTTTTTGATAGAACATGTATCGTTTATTATCATAAAGATGTGTTTATTTTTAAATTTCTGGTATAATATATAGGAGAAAGGAAGAATTTGAAACGCTAAAACGAACTATTACCAGGATTAATTTGTTTTATAAAGAGTATACATAAGATACACGTTTTATAATGTAACTTATTACAACATAATTTATATGTGTTATGTTCAGTCGTTCAGTATACTTATAAGTGTTCGAAAAAATAATACAATGAATATTATAATTGCTGTTATAATAAGTCAACTCCACACATTTGTTAGTTTTAACGAAGACTGTTGACTTAAACTTGGAAACAATGAAGCTATCGCGTACTCGCAGTCGCGTAGTCCCATGCAAACGTAATTATTGTGTGCCTAACACACAAGGCCCTACTGTGGTGCGTTAGGATGCAAATCTAAAATCAGGGCGACTAAAATTTGTTCGTAGAAGTCAACCTTACTTTAGCAGTATAACGTGGCGGAAGTGTTAACGCAATTTTAATACTGATTAACGTTTTGATAATAACGTCATACTTGAAGTCACGACATGTTATTATAAAAATAAAACATGCGTGAGTGTCGTGGAACATTCGGTTGGAACTAAGTTCGTTATTATTGATAAACGTATTATATTATTTATTAACAAATACAAATAAATGTATTACTAGCGTCTATTAAAATGCAGCGTCATTTAAAATAAAATACACTATGAGAGAACCTAGAGCCGTGGTAGCTCAGATGGTTAGCGCTCGCTGTAATTTTACTCCAATGAAATTGTTAATTGCAATTTTAAGTGCTGATTTACCACGTGCTCGGTGGTGAAGGAAAACATTGTTAGGAAAACTGCATGTCTAAGGAATAAGAAAAAAAATTTCGAATACATGCGAAGTTCGCCAACACGCATTGGGCGGCGGACACTTCCTTGCCTTAAAACCCTCTCAGAAATGAGGAGAGACCTGTCCCCAGCACTGGGACGTATTTAGGCTGTAACTTTACACTATGACACAAGGGGTAGTGAGGAAAAAATTTTACACTTTTTGTCGCCTAGCTCCCATCCGCTAAACCCGTACCGTCCGATAAGGAACTTCGTTCCAATAAAATTTATAAACATTATGTTTAACAAAGGTATCTACTCACATAATCATCAATGTACAGGAAACAAGTTTGGATGAAATTGTTAGAAGCAAATCTAAGCAAAAACAAAAAACTTGAAGGGCTCTCGTTAAAGATTTCGGAGAGAACAAAAATTTAAATTATGTATTCTAGGAACATTTTTATTTTAAGGTTTCCAACTGAAAATTCAATTCCAAAAAGTCCTGGTAGCTCAGAGACTAAAAGAAAGTTACAGCCTATATACGTCCTACTACTGGGCACAGGCCTTCTCTAATTCTGAGAGGGTTTTAGAAGAAGCCAATCAAATATAGAAAATGCCGCAACCCAATACGAGTTGGCTTAATTTCAAAACTGTTTCATTACACAAAATTTATACAAATTGCATGAGGAAGATTTATGATAAAATGATATGTGATAATAAATCTATATCGCATTGAATCTGATATTACGCGACAGAATGGGGGCGTAAAATACAGCTATTAACTACACAGACCGATAAAATTTTATACGTGGTAGAGCCATGTTGCAGCTATATTATAGTTGTCGGTCGGCTCGACCGGGGAAAAACTACACGCTCACAGAATACCAGTGTAAAATAGTAGCTCAATACTGCTGTACGAAAGACAGTATCTACATAGTGAGTGTAGAGAACCGGAGAATATTTTTACTCGAAACGAGGTCAACGAGGCATTCCATCTTAGTCCTCAGGGGTGACAACGCATCTGCATTTTGATAATTTATTGAGGATTGATGTAGATGTCTATGGGTCACAGCAACCACTTACCATCAGGTGGACTGTGTGCTCGTTTGTTACTCTTATCCTATAAAAAAATGTAAAAACTCAACCGCGTCTAAAGTTTGACAAGTATTCTGAACTAAAAACATAATATGTTATAATGTATCCTGTCGGTAAATGTTCGCATTAAAATAGAAGAAGTTTTATTAGACATGAACATTCTTTTTGTCGTACGATTTCAACAGGAAAAGAAAAAAAAATAACGTTTTTTATTATTTTACTAGCTGTTCCTCGCGACTTCACCCGCGTGGTATTTATTACGATTGGATTTCATTGGTATTAATTTTTTGCGCGGAACCCTAATTATTTTTCTAAAACAAAAGTAGCCTAAGTTACTCCTTACAACTTCAGCTATTTGCCAGTGAAATTTGTGACAAAATCTGTCCAGCCGTTTCGGAGATTAACCGGAAGAAACAGACAGAGAGACAAGCAAAAATATTAAAAATTGAATTTTTGTTATAAGTACAGAAACAGAAACAGAAACTTTTTTATTCAATATAGATTATAAATAATACTTATTGAAAGTCACCCTTTTGTATAATTACCACTGGTTCGAAAAAAAAACCTCTGTCCTGGGAAGAACCAACAAGAAACCCAGCGGGACGTTTTTTTAAATAACGGCTTACAATCATGTATGTTACACCAATAAACAACAACAAATTGGAAATAGTTTGGTAGCAATCACCTCATTTCCAGGGGTTATTATCATACCGTACCGTACCGTATATACTTTCATATGCATTTGGTAAAAAGCTGTTATTTTGACATTATAAACAGACACTTCAATTTTATTTATTTATATAGGTTCTAAGATAGAATAACATAAGTTACACTGTGTATAGGAAAATCACCGCAATCTCAGTACTAACTGATAATGAAACGGAGAATCTCGCAACTATCTATCACGGTTCCCTAATCCCTATACATGATATTTAATAAATCCCTAAACCTTGCAAAAGAACATCGCGAAACAACAACCAGCGGTGCCGGACTATCCTTAGAGCAAACTAGGCACATGCCTTGGGGCGCGCAGATAAAAACAGATTTTTAAACAAAAAAATCAATTAAGTAGGTACCTTCTTGTATTTACATAAAATACTACCTTTTATAGAGATGTAGTTTCCTAAGCGCGTAGCCTCTACTTAATTACTGTTGTATCGCCCTCATATTCATCATATTTTTAATTCAAACCCACCTATTAAATGGTTATACTACATGTGTCTTGGCCCACCAAATTATTTAGCAAATAAACTTTATTATTAATTACTAATATAGTTTATTACGGCGCCGATAAGGTGCTCGCCTACGGCGCTATCGGTGTCGACATTTAATCTGACTCCCTCCTACGCGGGATGATTTGTGAGACTATTGAAATAAAAAGAGATCTTAATTTCATTTGATAATAATATTTAAATTAATTTCATATTCAAGCATTGCAAGACTGCAAGACTTCAAGACACTGTAAGCTGTAACTGTATTTCGCATAACCTGAGATAAACTCTTAGCGTGATCATGGGGGTTTTAAGCACTAGCAACGTCCAGATTTAAAAATAACTTAAAATAAATGCGAAAATATCCGTAAGTTTCTATTTTCATACATTATTATAAAATAATTTAAAAAATTGATGTCATTTTCAACATATAAGATATAATAAATAAAAATTTTGTACAACCAACTTCAATATAAATTGTTAAGAATAACTCAAAAACTATTGGTTAGGCCTTGATCAATTTATATGGGACCACATGTTAAGCACCAACTTTCAAAAAAAAAAGAATCATCGAAATCGGTTCATCCAGTAAAAAGTTATGAGGTAACAGACAAAAAAAACATACAGTCTCCTTTTTGAAGTCGGTAGAAAATGCAGTTACGCGACCTTCTAAATTTAACCTCAAAATACTTAAAAACAAATTATGGATCCATTTAGGGAACTTTCTTATTTGGCGCGTATCTGTATCGGCGATATACTACAACCGAGGGTCGGAAATCGGGAGCGACAAAAATATCTCCTTGTATTTTGCAGGAACCTGAAGTATGCGGGATTTGAAATTAGTTGACCTATTAGACGCCAGACGCTGCAAATGTATAAAGTTCAAGTCCTCTATGCGGCATCGATTTTGTTCTTTCTCGAAGCGCAGGTAGAGACGTACAGACACAGGTTCGGAAGTACTTTTACTCAGACAAGAGATGTAGAGCTGTATATTTTATACGTGGTAGAGCCATGCTGCAGCTATATTAGTAGTATAGTTGTAGCACGAATGGGTCGGCTCGACCGGGCTAGGACCACGCTCTCACAGAATATCAGCGTAAAATAGCAGCATAACGCTGCTGTTTCGTATGATGAGTGTAGAGAACCGGAGACCCCTTTTACTGGAAACGAGGCATTCTATCTTAGTCCTGACGGGTGACAACGCATCTGCAAATTGATTCGTAGTTGAGGATGGATGTGGATGTCTATGGGCCACAGCAACTACTTACCATCAGGTGGACTGTGTTCTTTTGTCACCCTTATCTTATTAAAAAAAAACGTAAAATTTCTCACCTGAGACAATATGAAATAAAAAATACAATTTAGAAATAAAGAAATATGTTCAAGTCATAAAATACATAACTTTTTTTTAATCACTTTTGGGCTCTCCAAGGCTCACCTATATATAGGTAGGTAATACTATGAAGGCAAAATACACACAGTAATTTTAGGTCAGCATTACCAAACCTATATTTGCTCTGCAAAAGTTAATTGGGTGTGAAATGACGATAGACGCCATGTCATCTAAACCGCTTTCCTACTTCTACATTAAATTTTGGTAAATTTTCAGTAGGATAAATATCGCCTTAGGGATGCCGCTGGAATCCACTTTTAGAAATGTATATTTTTTGAATAAATAATCCTCTTACATCATAGCAGGTGAAATTGTTCGTATAGTCATAACATTAACTTCTAATAAAAGTATGAAAACAGACTTTAAAGTACTAAAA